TTCAGGGAGTTGCAAAATAGTGAACATGGATGCAGACTAACTTGAAGGAAAGCCGATATACTTATTATTTGTCCAGGGAAGCATCAGAAGCCTGGAACAGTTGGAAAGGATCGTTCCAAAAACTGGTGCTCTGAGGTAGCTAGACTGTAGATAAAGATCTCTTTAGATTCTCACACTTAGAAAATTCAGGTAAAGGAACAAATTTTTAAAAAAATATAAGAGGATGTACAGATAAAATCCATCTGATCATCAGATACAAAAGCATAGTAGAAATCAAAATGAATTTCACACTAACTGCTTTGATATGCTTACATATGCTATTTAACTCACAAAATTCTCTGCATGAGACGATTATTCTTAATAGTTTATAAAAACTCATTTTTAAAAATCAGTTAATAGTTTCTGTTTTGTTTTTATTTTTATGTATGTGTGTGTGTGTGTGTGTGTGTGTGTGTGTGTGTGTGTACACCTTCAAATAGGATCTGACTGGTACAGGAAGAGATTGTCTCTCCTTTTCCAGCACAGCATCTGGTGGATTCTAACCACTCACCTCTGGGATTGTAGTGTAGCTTCTTGCCACTAGACCACCAGAGTTTTAAAAAAAATCGCATTTAATAGTTTTAAAAAGACAAAAGGGAAGAATAATTAATTCACAAAAAGATGGTCAAAATAGCTTACCAGAAAAAAAAGCTCATCCCCTCAACTGTAATAAAATGAAGGTAAATTATGATGATGGGTCATTTTTTATATATCAAGTTCTGAGAGGAGTCTGACTGTGAATGTCAATGGAAATGGCTTTTCGGTGTGGTAAAAACAGCATCAATGCTATTTTTAAGTTGTTCACACATAGACTTCAGTAATTCTGCTTCTAGGAATCTATCATAGAGGAGAAAATTATGAAGTGTGGATAGCTATTGAGCAGAGAACAAAAATTTAAAAAGTCTAAATGTTTAATATCAGAGAATTACATCATTTTATCCATCTCTTAGAATATGCATTCATTTTAAATGTTTACAGAGTTTTAAATGCAAAATATTTATATTTACAGAAAATATAGGAAAAGAAGCAGAAAAGAAATCAGATGTGTAATATGAACTGTTCCAAAAACAACTGGAAAAGCACATCAACAAAGAACTGCCAGATGTGCAGGCTGGGTTCAGAAGAGGCCCTGACACTAGGAATATTATAGCCATTATTAAATGGATCTTGGCTAAAAGCAGAGAATACCAGAGTAATGTCTATCAGCATTTCATTGACTATGCAAAAGCACTTGACTGTGTAGATCACAACAAACTATGGCTAACTGAGAAGAATGGGAATCCCAGAACACTTGATTGTTCTTATGTAAAACCCCTACTTTGACCAGGAGGTAGTTATCAGAACAGAGCAAGGAAACACTGCATGGTTCAAAATCAGGAGAGGTAGATGCCAAGGATATATCCTATCTCCATACCTTTTCAATCTTTATGTGGAACAGATCATCCAGGAGGCTGGGCTCCATAAGGAGGAATGTAGCATCACGATTAGAGGAAGATTCATCAAAGTCCTTGCCAAAACAGAAGAGGGCCTGAGACATTGGCTGCTGAAGGTTAAAATCTGCAGCCTTCAGTATGGATTTAAGCTCAACATCAAGAAAACAAAAGATTCTCACCACTGGGCCAATTGGCAGCATCATGATAGGCAGTGAAGAGATCAAGATTGTTCACAGCTTCAGCTTGCTTGGCTCGACAATCATCACTCTTGGTACCAGCAACCAGGAAATCAAAAGACTAATTGCATTGGGGAAAATAGGCTATCAGGGACCTCTCCAGAGTACTAAAGAGCAATGATATCAGTCTGGAGACTAAGGTGTGCCTGATCCAGGCCATGGACTTCAGTTACTTGCTATGCATTGAAAAGCTGGACAATGACTAAGGATGATAGAAGAAATAATGCCTTTGAGCTGTGGTGCTGGAGAGGAGCACTGAATATACCGTGGACTGCTAGGAGAACAAACATTGTTCCTGGGGAGGGTGAAGCCAGGCTGCTGCTTGGAGGCAAGGATTCTGAAGTTTTGTCTGACATACTCTGGACATGTTACAAGGAGACCAGGCCTTAGAGAGGAACATCATGCTTGGGAGGGTTGAGGGACAGGACAAGAGAGGAAGACCCTGGATGAGATGGATTGATTCAGTGACTGGGGTCATTGGGGTAGGTGTGTCAGAGACAATGAGATTGGCTCAAGATTGAATAGGGTTCAGAGCTGTTGTACATACACAGGGTCACTTTGAGTCTTAAGTGACTTAGTGGTACATAACAACAACAATTATGAATTGATTGCAGGGGAGTCACAACATATTTTTCTTTTTTTCCCCCCCGCCCCCATCAACTCTCTTTACTCATCAGAGAGAGATACCAGCACAGACCATGCATCTCAGTCCACACTGTTCAGTATATCCCGGAGCAGATCTCAGACTTCATTGCCATCCGGGGTTGGGGGTGGGTGGGGGTGGGGAGCCAACTCGTAACTAACACTCCATTGAGCTTCTCTGAAGCTGCACATCTTTATGGGAGGAAATTGCCCATCTATCTTGGTCAGAGCTGCTGGTGGATTTGAACCGCCAGAGAGGGTTGACCTTTAGGCAGCAGCACAACTCCTTACAGACTGTGCCCTGGAGTAAGCAGGAGTTGGGCCTGTTTCCTTAGCCTCGTCTGGCAGGAGTCTGTAGAAGCATGCTGTCCTGGTGACTGTGGTTCTGAGGTTAAACAGCCTGTCATTTTGTAGAACTAACCCTCAGAGCAAGCCAGCTCTCTGATCTGGTTCTCAGCCCGGTACTGCCATCTGTTCCAGCCTGCGAGGAACCCTTGGCTTTGTTGAACTTCCTGGAAGACATGGTGTGTTGCTCTCCAGCACTGTGCTTGCCTGAGAGATTTTCAAGGGAAATTTGGAATCTGCAGTTGTCACTTTATAGGCTGAGCTTAGAATCTAATAACTCCCCTGTACAAGGAAGCCCTACTTAATGTATTTGAAAGATAATTACAAAGGGAATGAAAGTGTAAAGGGAAAACAAGATGTATATAAGTCAAAGGATAAATTGTTAAGTTGTACAATTGTTAACAGACTTGTTTTCATAGACTTTTTTAGAATTTGGCAAATTCTTTGCAGTAAGCACGTATTGCCTTTACAAGGAACACCAAAGAACTTAAAATATAACTTTGATATTTCTCAGTTACTCTTGGTAAATAACATAGTCTTATCTAAAATGCAATTTAGAGTCCTATTACTACAAGATATTCTATTCTGGATATTTCTGAGTAATGGCTACCGTTTATTGAGAACTTATAGGCTCAGTGGTTAAGGAGTTCCCACAATGAAAAGCAAGTGGTTTGAATCCATTAGCAGCTCTTCAAGAGAAAGCTGGGCAGTCTCTTGTGTAATTTACAACAGCCTCTGGAAACCCATGGGCAGATCAGCACAGTAGTGGGTTTGAGTCCTGTGTAGCAGGCGCTGTGCATAGTGTCCTGGAAGGTTTAGATGCAGTTCTGTCCACTTCACAAAGATGTGTGATTAAGATTTATTCAGCAGGTACAGTGGGGCACCTTTCTAGGCATTCCTGTTTAATCGGAGGCACAAGGAGGCTAAGTAACTCCTCAAGATCATGGACACGTTAGAGCCGGTCTGGAGTGTCAGAAGGTTGGCTCCAGGGCCCACCCCCTTCCTCAGATGTCACACATCGTGCAGCTCACACATAGATCTGCACATGCCCCTCATCATAATGCCCTGCCTCCTCCTTCCTGTTAAAATTTGTGACCTTCAAAAACAAAAAAAATTCTCATCTTGGCTAGTGGTATTGAGGATTATCTAGAGAAAATTCTGGCTAGACCACTGGAAATAATCAGAAACTGCCTCTACTAGTTTTGGGCTCCTAGACACCAGCACTGAGCTGTCTGTCATCATGAGTACTAAACCAGAATGAGGAAGGTGCTCCTTTTCTTTTTCTTTACAGAATGATCATCTATTTGGATTCGTCAGAGCTGTCCTAAAAGTGAAGTGTCAGTGCTCCGCTTACACAACCAGGCATTATTCAAGGAAATGGCTCTATTTGACTTTCTTTCAAAACGCATGTTGCTGTGGCTTCACGGGAACAGCTTACCCTCTAGCACTCAGGCGCTAGTTCCCTGGCCCTGTAAAACTTCTTTTCACTCTGGATCTTCCAAAAGGATTTTCCTAAAATTCTAACAGAAACATTTGTTTACTCATTTTAAATGAAACCATTTTAACTGACTTGTTTTGGATACTAGGTGTCAGCTAGGTTGAGCCTAACAAAAATACTTTCTCCAAAACACAAGAAATGCTGTGTTCTCCTTCTTTGATAAACATGTACTTCAATTAAACATCCACCTGAAAATGTAAAACATTTCCCCAAACATCGACAAGTGTATTAGTAATAGGTCTTCTAAGAGGGATTGAAGCAAGGGATAGAAAAGGAATCTGTCAGGATAACATTTGAGATCTGAGAGACTTTGGCCTTTTGTTGCAAAGCTTAAATAGACAATATAGAAAATTATAAGAGTGTGGCCTAGTGGTGAGGGTGTTGCACTGCCAACCCAGGGGCAGACAGTTCAAATCCACTAGCAGTTCCTGGGGAGAAAGATAATCTTCTGTGCAGTTTATTGCCTCTGAAAACCCACTGGGGGGCGGTGGGGTGGAGGGGGAACCGACCTGCTGAAGGGTCAGCTCTGAGGTGGTTCCAACTCTGTGGCAGATAACACAGGTTGAAGACTGGCAGTTACAATTCAGTACATTGTGAAGAAGATAACATTTGGTAATCCATCTAAGCAGTTGTCCTCTTTGGCCATTTAAGTCCAGTTTACCTGCGTCTTTACTATTTACATCTCAGATGTGTTTCTGCATCCTCCAACTCAACAGCTCCTGTATAAAAGCCTCCATTTTCTTTGTTCCAGGTTTGGTGCACACATTCTGAATCCCTGGGTGGCAGGAATAGCCCTGGACGCCAGGCATGCTTTGGACGTTACTCCCGAGAGCCCAGGCTTGTAGACTCTGCGCCATAAAAAAGATACTCCCAGCTCCAGAATACAGACCTGGTTTCATGTGCATCCTCTACACAACTGATACACAGTCAAAGAAGGAAAACAAAAGGACAGTGGACAAGCTCTCTAAGTTATCAGTTGACCTGAGAAAAATCCGCAGGCTGAAAGGATGGGTACTTTGGGAGGATAACACCTACATTGAAGAAATTGTAAATATTTTACGAGAAATAGGTGCTGAGGAGGGTGCGATAGCCCAAATTTTGGAACATTTCCCAGAAGCTATTGTCTGCAGTCCAGCTGCTGTTAATGCCCAGAGAGAAGTGTGGCGACTAGTCTGCAGAAATGAAGGTGAGTTACTTAAATTAATTGAACAGTTCCCAGAGTCCTTCTTTACTGTTAAAGACCAAGAGAACCAGAAACGCAATGTTGAGTTCTTTCAAGAGTTGGGACTCAGAAATATTGTCATCAGCAGATTTTTAACCACTGCACCTAGTATTTTTCACAATCCTGTGGAAACTAATAAGCAGATGATAAAGATTCTTCAAGAGAGTTACCAAAATTTAGGTGGCTCTGAAGCCAACATGAAAGTTTGGCTACTGAAATTATTAAGCCAAAACCCATTTATTTTGTTGAATTCTTCTGCATCCGTAAAGGAAACGGTGGAATGTCTCCAGAAGCAAAGTTTTACAAACTCTGAAATTCTCCAACTTCTGTCCAGACTTAAGGGATTCCTTTTTCAGCTTAGTCCAAGAAGTATCGAGAACAGTATTTCCTTCTCTAAAAATGCTTTTAAATGCACAGATGATGACCTAAAACAGTTAGTTTTGAAGTGCCCTGCCCTTTTATATTACTCTGTTCCAGTTTTGGAAGAAAGGATCCAGGGATTATTGAAAGAAGGGATTTCCATACCTCAGATAAGAGAGGTGCCAATGGTTCTTGAGTTAACCCCACAGATAGTGCAGTACAGGATAAGAAAACTCAAGTCTTTAGGCTACAGGATAAAGGATGGACATCTAGCAGATCTTAATGGAACCAAAAAAGAGTTTGAGGCCAACTTTGGCAAAATCCAAGCCAAAAATAGAAGGCCGTTGTTTAACCCTGTGGCACCATTAAATGTTGAAGAATAATTTATATCACTCCTTTCCAACAGTGTACAGTAAAGCATCAACAAAGACTTCCACCTCTCAGGCAGGCAGTAAACAAGGAGTGGTCTAACCATATGAAGTTGCACTGCAATCCTAAGGGCACATGGTTCAAATCCTCTAGCTGCTCTTGGGGAGGATGGGCAGTCTCTTCCTGTGATGTCCTGCCTCTGAAAACCCACTGTAGGATCAGCTCCAACTAAACGGCACACTACAGCTTACTTATTTTAAATAAAGTTGGTAACCCTGACTTTGAACTATTGTTTTAATGCACATCCTATTGAGTGGCATATCATTCTGGTGTTTATATATTAATTTGTAAGAAACTGGCATGTGTACTTCTTCAGGCGCACATTTTTACTTACACGGAGGCTCTCATCTCGTAGGCAAATCCGGTTGTCTTCCTCACCACTCACCCTGAACCAGCACCACTATGTCTGAATTATATCCGTGTCACGGGAAACATTTGCAGAATCATTTTTTAAGCAAAACCTGATTTTATCTGCTAGTTGGAGTAAATGTCTGACTTTGAGAAGCAAGTATAAAAAATATAGTCTACAGGGGAAGTCAGGTTAATTAGAGCCCACTTGTGACCATTATACTTTAAAAAAAAAAAAATGCTTTTATCTCCACTATAGATAAGGAAACAGAGGCTAAGGTCGTGCAGGGCTGCCAAGTGGCAGAGCCCAGGTTTACCAAGTCTGGCTCCTCTCCAAGCCTTGCTGGAGAGAAAGAATTGTTTGCGTTGCCCATAGGAGTGATGCTCAGTCTACCTGACACTCCTACCAAAAAGAATAAGTCCTAGTAACACACTCTTGGGGATTTTATGAGACCCACTTTCTAAAAGTCCATTAATTTGAAATTATATCGCTTCTACACATTTGAAATAACTAGAACCTCTTGGCTTTTGAAGATACAACTCTACCTATAAAGGCAGGCATGATAGTACTTAATTTAGTTGGTGGTAGCGTTCCATGTTTGTATTTCTAAATCTTGTGCCAAGACAAACATTACCCAGGTAAAGCCTGGCTCCTTTTCAGTGGTGTAGTTTGACCTCTGTAACAAACAGGCGCAAACATTTGGCTCCATCCCTCCATCTGTGCACTATGCATGCATGGTCTTTAAGTCATAAATTCTGAAAGGTACAGGCAGTGCCTCCTCCATTTAGCAAACCATGTAACCCTTCCATCCCAGGTCTATTCAGCTCCTGAATCGGGAAAAGCTGCTGTTGGGTCCCTGTGAACGACAGCTCTGAACCTTGCCTTACCTTCCACCATCCTCTAGATTGTTAGGTACTGCTGAGTCAAGTATGCGTCATAACAACCCTGTAAACGTCTGGACCCTGTTGGGTGCTGTGCTGGACTTAGGATACTCTTGAGCCCATTGCTGGTACAGTCACTGTAGCAGTCCATCCTATGGAGGCATTGCTTTGCTGACCCCTAATTTCCAAGCATTATGACCCTTTCCAAGGAATAGTCTCTCCTAACCATATGCTCTGTCCGATTCAAAGTGGCCAAAGCTAGTCTCACAAATGCCTAGAATGTCAATCTTCATGTATTTCATTTTTCACAGCTTCTCATTTTCCAACATTGATGCTTCGTACATTCCATGTTCCAGTTTATAAAGGATGTCTGTAGCTATTTGTACTCATTCTGAGTGAGCATGTATTTGGGTTCTATATTTGGAAGCAGGAGTGGTATTCACTTCCTAAACAGCATGCCTCTGGAAACTCTCTGAACTTTGATAAATGGTGATGGTTGTGGAAGGGCTTCAGGCCTTTTGTTCATGGGGTCTCTATGAGTCGTGCTCAACTCAGCAGCAATCAGCAACAACATATCTAATAAGGTAACTACCCAGTTCATAGGGTTTAAGGAGACCCATTGTTTTAGAAGTGGATGGGCAGCCCATCTTCCTAGTCTGTCTTGATCTGTTACCTCTGCATGGGTGGCCCCTCTGCGCCCAAGACACTTCTGGCACAGAGTTCAGCATCAGAGCATCCCACAAGCTATAGAGTACAGCAGACTGGCAGACAAGTGCTGTGCTAATAGAAGCAAATAATCATGACTGTGTACATCTAGATTGGAAGTAATTGGCAATATGCCTATCATTCCCGAATAATCGAACTGATAGGCATTGCACCTCTAAAAGCAAACCATGAAGACAACCAGGCTTACAAACATAACACAGGATACCCTTTCCAGACTATAGTTGAGGCCTATGGTGGCACACAGGATGGGTTCTGGGTTACTGGGGACAGATACTGGCAGACAGTGACACAGCTTCATCTTTGCCTGTGGTTCTTAGCCTAGGCCCAAAGGCAAGTGTGCCTGCCCCTTTGTGGATGGAACACATACTCTTGATGCACAGGACTATTGAGAAGAAAGAGAATCCCAGAACACTTAATTGTGCTTATGTGAAACCTATGCTTACTAGACCAAGAAGCTGTTGTGCAAACAGAACAAGGGAACAATGCATGGTTTAAAATCAAGAGTGTGTCGGGGCTGTATCCTTTCTACCTATTCAATCTGTGGGCAGAATAAATAAAGAAGCTGGGCTCTTGTGAGGAAAAATGTAGCATCAGGACTGGAGGAAGACATTAATAACCTGCATTATGCAGAAGACACAATGTTACTTGCTGAAAAGTGAAGAGAACTTGAGGCACTTGCTGCAGGAGACAAGGACTGCACCCCTCGGTATGCATTGTACCTCAACATCAAGGAAACAAAGGTCCTCACCACAAGACCAACAGGCAACATTATGATAAATGGAGAAAGGGTTGAAGCTTTCCACTATCAACATCAATACCGTTGGTATCAGCAGCCAGGAAGTCAGGAGATGTACTGCATTAGGCTAGTCCAAGGTCAAGAACCTCTCCAGAATGCTGAAAAACAGTGATGTCAATTCAGTTTGAAGACTTAAGGTGCACTTAAGCCATGGTCTTCGCAATCACCTGCTATATGCATTGGAGAGCTGGACAAAAAATGACAGAAGAATTGATACTGTTGAGTTGTGGTGACGAGAACTGAATATCCCATGGACTGTCAAGAGAATAAACAGGTCTTAGAGAAGGTGCAGCTGGAGTGCTTGCTGGAGGCAAGGATGGCGAAGCTTCATCTTTCATACCTTGGACAGGTAGCTAGGCGAGGCTATTTACTGGAGAGGGAAGTCATGCCTGGAATGATAGGTCAGCACAGGCAGGAAGGACCCCTAACGAGAAGGACTGACACAGTGACTTCAGCAGTGGGCGGTGTTGGGATAGAGGGTGAGGATGACACAGGATAGGGCAGAGTTCAAGTTGGGTATTCAGAGTTGCTGTGTGTTGTACTTGATAGCACCTAACAACCACCACCACCTCCTCCTCCTCTCTGGGTACCTACCACACGCCAGGCATGTTTCAAGTACCCCCACAACACTAAATTATGTATGTTGCTTAGGCTTCTACAGATGAGGAAACTTAAGCAGAAAGGGCCAAGTTACCCAAGGTCACCTGATAACTTCAAGAACAAGAATGCCAGCCAGAACAACAAAGCAAGGGAGTGGCACAAGAAGAGGTCACCCTGACCTCTCAAAAGATCCTCAGAAGGAAACCACAACCACTGCAAGGCGGGCTGGCCTTGAGTTAATGCTAGTTGTCCTCACATCTCTCTTAAACTTGGTGCTTACACATTCAAAAGTAAATGCTCTATGGTCAATTCTGTTGTAGATGTCAACTTTTGACATGCATGCTAGACATAGAAATAGAGATTTCAAGCAGGCAGCTAGCTAAGTCTAGAGTTTAGTCAGGCCTGGAGCTAGGTATTTAAGTCATCTGCATGTCTACGGTTCTTAGTCGTGGATCCAGATGACACTGCCAGAGAAACAGGAATATAGATTGAAGTAGAGTGGCTGGCCACCCTGGGAAGGAGCATGAAGAAGTCTGCCAAGAGGAGGGTGTGATCTAAAAATACCACTGAAAACCTATGATATGGAGATGTGACCAATGGATTTGGGGAAGGGTCATTGTTGGCCGTAATAAAGAGTTAATCCTGATGTTTTTGTTGTTAGTTGACCATGATTCACAAAGACCTTGTGAACAGATGTGACCCTTGCCCTATTCTGCCTGTCCTTCCGTCTGATACACTGGAGCCCATGGTTAAAGTGCCTATATCAGTCCATCTTTCTGAGAGCCTTTCCTCTTTCACCTTTCCCAGCATGATGTCATCTTCCAAATTGTGGCCCCTTCTGACGATAGGCATAGACATGTCATGTGAAAACACACAATGTACAAGACTTTGAGTCCAAGTTCTAGCCTGGTGTGTCAAGCATCGCAGGCAGCCCTAAATGTCAACACAAAGGACCAATTATTCAGTCGCTCCACTTGTTTGTGGATGTGAGCTGGACAAATTGCTACTTATGTGAAATTCAACTAACACTGAAAGTTAGCGTCTTCTTGAGTTATAAAAAGGAACTAAAGACAATTCTCTTGTATTGATTAAATCAGGTGCTGACTGGACAGCCAGTATCCAGCAAGTGCCGAAAAGGGGAGCAGTTTTCCATCCTTCCCCAACCAGCCGTAGTCCCTTTGACTGCTTTCAGTCTAGTGGAAGACCTAGATGGATCTCACAGTCACTTGGCCTGAGATAAGCGTTCTCTGTAAATCCTACCTAATGTTTTCAAGCTGCAGTGGTTTTCAGAATCAATTGCAAAGCTTGCTAATGCAAAAGTTCAGGGCCCCACCCTACAGAACAATGAAATCTAGATTTTTAATCTTTATAAAGTTTAAAATACATCTGTATTCCACTGCCATGTTGGTAGCAATACACATGTGAGAATGTTTTTCCATGTTTATTCATTCATACCAAAAAATAAAACATTTGGCTACAGGACTCTGAACTGCTATATAACTAAAACTTTAAGAAGAGTACCCTGTTTTAAAATGTCCTTTATTTCCTTAGATCTTCATGAAATATTTCAGTTTATGCAGGTCATAGTGCTTTATAACAGACTTATGTGTTCTTTTCCCAGCCCCTTAATACAAAAAATTTTATTTGATCAGTTATTTTCCTGATACTTCACTAACTACAGGATTCATAATGTCAGCATCATTAGGTCAATTATTCAAGTGGGTCCACACAAGTGTATCCTCATTGTGCTAAAGAGCCACTCAAAAGAGAAGATGAATAACAGGTGTCTCCGCGTGTATTTAACCACCTTTAGTTTTGTGAAGTGAATGAGTCCTGTTTAACAGGTCAGACTGCTAGTCTACATAAATAAACTAGGAAAATTCAAGTGCACGGCTGTGCATATCATCAAATGGCAAGTTCATATCAACAGAACCCTGTGTAACCAACCATCACGTGAACACTTGTCTGCCATCATTGCAACAGCCCCTCCAGAACAAAGCTACTCCAGAATTGAAAAGAAACTTGATGAGATAAAGTAACAGTAAAGTTACCTTTCTGTAACAAAAGTAATCACAACTATTTTTTTTGCACGGTTTAAAAAACAAATTTGAAAAAAAAATTTGAAAATAAATAAGCAAGATACTGTAAACTAAAGCCTGTACTTAGAACTTCAGGTACAAAGCAAGGTAAAGCTTACAAGTGAAACAGAGAAATCAGACACAGAAGCCAGCAGTGACGCCATCTCTTCCAAATAGCAATAAACAAATTTTCCAATCCCGTTACTTCCATCATTAGTTAGTGTTCATCTATTTTTGTGGCTTTTGTTTTCTTTTCCAAATCCCCTTTGCTTATTGCAGCATCTGATCACATAGACCAACAAATAAATCCTAACTCATGAAACAAATGACCAGTCAGTTGCTGAGGAGATAGACTAAACTCCATCATGAATTTCTTACATAAAATTCCTTCTGCTGGTATCCTGAAAGCTGTAGAAAATTAAGTTACATTTGTATCTATTTGTTGGTCCAAATTATCAAAGAAAAACTCTTAGCTGCACACCAACAAATGCTTCAGCCTAGAGTGCTGGCATGATCTCCTGCAAAGTCTCTCCTGTCGGACATCACAGCTTCCTCCATGGAGTGGGGGCAGTTCCCATACCAAGTGTAAAGAACACCAGGTTTGGGCAGAACCCTCTGTTAAGAGGAACGCCAAATACACATTATATATGCTGGTTAAAACTTTTTGGGAACTGAAGATACGAATTTAAGCAAAGTGTAATTATCTACTTTTTGAAAATGAACAAGACGTGATGAGACATGTGAAGAGACATGACACGCTCCTCATCAAAAGCTTCGTATTCTGCCTGAAACATTCTTCAAAAATGGCCCAGCTATAACTGCACGGAAGGACTATAATGTGACGTACATTTTTAAAGTCTATATAAAGGTTTTGGAAGCACTTATACAAATTTTATATCCAAAACTAATCAGTGGAGTCCCTTTCCTCCCACACAGACATCCCTCATACGCTGTGGTTGCTTTTACTGGGTTTTCAGTCATTTAAGACATCTTAGAGATAAGATAGCATTCTTTTTCCATCTTGGATGCCTACTGTAGGTAATACTTAAGATCTTAAAATTATTAAATGTTTATTCTTAATATGAAATTCTTCCAACACAGCTTCTGACTAGTTAAAGAAATGTTCTTTAGGCACTGTGAGGTGTATTAACAATGGAGCATGAACTCATGCTGAAGTGTACAATTTGACTGTAACTACCAACAATGGAACATTATCTGCACACAACAGGAAATGCCTTTACCCCACTACTCCTGAGATTCTTGTCTTAAGAAGGAAAACTAATTTTACAAAACAATGCTTTATAACAATCCATATAGGTAATTCTAAGAGCTACAAATCTGGGGTATCTTAAAAGATGTTTTCTTTTGTAAGGCATCAATTATAAATGAACAGAATGCATATCTAACATAAAATGGTTAACATTTGGAATCATAAAGCCATTTATCTTTAAAACCTATAATTCTTGCTACTTTTACCAGCTTAAATAAGAAAAAAGGTCTCTTGGCCTAATCAACTATGGTTATTAAAAAAAACAACTAAGACATCTGAAACTATTAGGCACATCAAAGGTACAGTTTATGTAGTTCAAGGTTCCCTTGTGAAGGGGCAGATGAATTACCTGGCACGTCATACGTATGGAACTGTAAAGATCATCCACTAAATTCAATGTTCACATTTTTAGTCAAACTGAAAGACTTAAGAGTAACTATTCCAATATCCCATATCTTCAGTTACAACTGAGTAGGTGTAACATTTTACCAGATAAAAACCTGGAACTTAAGTGTAAGAAACCTTCATATACTGTGCTAGTATTGGTCTCTTCTTTTTAGACAAGCCAGTCATCAATACTTTCAACACAGCAGTTTAGAAGATAAATGTCCAAAATAGGTGACTTGGTTATAGTCCATAATTTAGCAATTCAATGCCACTGGCATCATAATGCTGTGGAGAGCAAGGCCATCTCCATAGTTTAGTCCGATTTGTCTTTCTTCTTTCCTGTTAAGGGCACTTTGTTGACAACAGCTGACCCGACAGCTGTGACTCCTCCAGCCACAGCCGACACGCCCCCTTTCACCAGCCCTAGTCCCATGGACGGGACAGTTGTGACAGCTGTTTTTGTCACCTCCAGACTCTTTCCACCAATCCAAGCCACACCACCAATGGTGGCACCAACAGCTCCCTTTGTAACACTGAAGATACCCCCAGTCACACGGGACAACATGCCTGGTTGCTGCTGTGGGTGATCTTTCATTGCACCTGAAGAAAGAAAACAGCACAAGACAGTCAAATATAAGCCTTTTAAAGAACAGTCAAATTATATGCGTAAAAAAGGCACTATAAATCATTAAGTAACTGGACTTCCTAACAATCATGTAGCGATTTAACAAAACCAGCAAAATAAATACAACTCAAGGGCTCTTCCGTTAAGACATGTAAAACAATTCAGAATGACACACATTTCTGTCTGTTCCAAGAAAGGCTTCAGAGATAACGCTTCATAAAGCAGACTCCTATTTAAAATTTCCCCTGTATAGTTTGTAGTTGTTAATGCCCTTGTATTATATCCAAAAGAAGTATGAACCCACTACTTTAGCCATTATCTGAAAGGAACAAATAAATGTTAACAAGGACGTGGAAAAACTGGAACCCTCAATATGTTGCTGGTGGGAGTTTAAAATGGTTACCACCAGTGTGGAAACAGAATTTCACTCTTACACATATAGTATGTAACCCAAGTATCTGAAAGCAAGGACTCCAACAGGTATTTATAAGCCAATATTTCCTGGAAACATTGCTTGCAATAGCCAAAAGGTATAAACAGCTCTTGCATCCAACAGATGAACTGATAGAATGTGTCATATGCATACAGGGAAGTATATCCAACAATGAGAGAAATGGAGCTTTGCTATAAGCTACAACACAGAAGACCCACGAAAACAGGATGGGTAAAAGAACTCGGACAAAAATGACAACTATTGTCTCAACCGGTTTAAATGAAATACCCAGAATAGACGTATGAATAGCGATCAGAGTGTGAATGAGAAGGGGAAACAGGGAAGTACTGCTTAAAAGATACTGAGTTTCTGGTAAGAGAGATGAAAAAAATTGAATCATGGTGATAATGGCACACAATATTGAAAATTTTGTCACAGAATTAACTGTGTAACAAAAATAATTGAAATGGTAAATGTCAATATATACTGCAACACATTTTTTAAATAACATGAAGAAAAAAAAGATCAATGTACTGAGTCTTCATTTTGTTAATAAAATTCAATCGATCATTATGGAAACAACCTCTTAAATCTTAAGTCCTGGTCTAGGACCTCTGAAAGCCCCCAAGGCCATTTCAAGGGTCCATAAGATAACAGGGCAAAGCTGCCATCAGGGACCTCTTTAACATGCTAACAAGCAAAGATGTCAGTTTAAAGACTAAGGTACACCTCCTCCTGATTCTAGCCATAGTACTTTCAATTGCTTCCTATATCTGAAAGTTGGACAGTGACTAAGGATGACAGAAAAAGATTCAATGCCTTTGAATCATGATGTTAGAGACAAGTACTGAATATCCCAAGGACTGACAAAAGAGCAAATCAGTCTGTCTCAGAGGCCTCACTCGGCCTCACCTTCGGCATGCTGTCAGGAGGGGAGAGTCCTTGGAAAAAGACATCACACTGGGAAAGATGGAGGGTCAGGCAAAGAGAGAAAGACCCTCAACAAGATGGACTGACAACGGCTGTAACGATGGGATTGAGCACGTCAGAGATGGCGAGGGCAGCACAGCAGAGAGCAACGTGCAGACCTACTGCTCACATGCTTCACTCTGAGCTGTGGTCAACTGGATAGGACCTAACAACAGTAAGAGGTAAAGTTCATTTCCATAATAATTCTAAGAGGTCATTTTGCCTTTTCAATTTCATTCTGTCACAAGTGAACACAATTTTCCAGAGGTTACACAGAATCAACTGTGAGATGTAGCTGGGTTCTCATTAATGCAATTTGCAAAACTGTAAAAATAGTGTTACCCTTCTGACTTTTGTTTCAGAGAAGTTACTTTTCATAAAGGTATACTAGTCAAGTGAACTGCAGGGAGCTTACTCAATTTTTTACATGGGTAATATTGTAATGTTGTTATGTGTCCCTGATTTGCCTGCAACCCTGCAAATTTATTGCTAAAACAGAAATTAACACATAATAAACCACAAAGCCAAAAGTTATTTGGGGTTTTCCCTTTTATTATTATTAATTTTAATGAAAGTTTTATTGTTGCACTTTTCTCTCTGCCCACACCTCCCCCCAGGTCACTCTTCTCTTTGAAAAGTAAAAGTCTGTCGTTGTTATACAATCCCTTCCCCCAAGTCCACTCCACTATGCAGCCTTCATTCTGGTTCTGGACTCCTGTCATGACAATAATACCTAATCATATATCGCTTTTAAACAGTTCTCTCCCTCAGCTGTTTCAATGCAGTATACATAATTTATCCCATCTTTCTCAGCCTCCCCCCAACCCCGATGTCGGTCCCATTTTACAACAGTGGCACCATGCAGTATTTGTCCTACCAAAAGCTATTTGTACTCTTCCATTTCTAAGAATGTAAAGAATCCTGAGACCAATGCGTTTTAGAACCAGTGACTTAAAGATATGACTTTCTGCTCTAGGTACCTTTTGGTGGCATACTTAAAAAGCTAATACTACAGGAAAGTAATCTGTCATTTAAAAGCATGTCATTTACTTAAAATTAGTTGTATATTTAGATCTAAGTGCTGGCAAACTGAAGCTGAGGTTGGTATTTAAATCAGTGCCTTAGTATTTCTTATGGAAACAGTCTACTACAAGGATCTAGCTTCTACAAATTTCTTAGATATCCCACAGAAAAGTTACCATCAACATGGAAAATTCTCAACTTATCTAAGTTATTCACTAAGAGAGTGTCTTCTCGTGAGTGTTTCGGGGATGTGCGTATGTATGGGGGGGTGTTTCTTAGGGAGAGTTACAGTGTGGGGAGGGGATGTGCACGCACACACATGCAGAAAGACTTCATAAATGGTGCCTGTGCCACCCTCAAATAAACACATGCCTTTCCCCTCCAGTATACTTCCAATGATTTGTTGTTGTTGTGCACCATCAAGTCAGTACCAACCTATACCTGACCCTCCAGCAGGTTTTCAGAGGCAGTAAATTATAGGGGAGGAGACTCCATCCTTCTCCCACAGAGCCGCTGGTGGATTTAAACTGCATGCCTTAGCCATTAATGACTTAGGCAACAGTAAATAAGCAATGGAGTTTTTCTAAACTTCAAGGGAAAGTATTTGGTACCTACACAATTCAGGTTTTTTAACCACACACATGTGAACTGGAGAGAGATAAGATCAAGAAGTCTCTTAAATTCAGGAGACACACATGTGTAAATTCTCTCTTTTACTGGCCTAAAGTTCAAGTACGATTTCCAAAGCCAAGATCCTAGCAGAAAGAGATTATCAAAAACAGTAAAACTGGGAAATTGATGACTTCTGACTCTGCTGTCTATCAACAGATACCTACCCTGAACAAACAGTAAAAATCCTAAAATGGGAGCTTTTCTAATACAGATAGCACAAACTGGCCTTGAAATAATTTTATCTTCATTATCTGGCATGAAAAGGCTCATGATCATTTTTCACATGTTGTTAGATGCCACTGAGTTGACTACGACTCATAGTGACCCATGAACAGATGAGAACCTTGTCCTGTCCTGTGTCATGGCCACAGTCTCGCTCAAGCCCCAGCCCCATAATCATCTCCTTGAGGGCCGTCTTCTCTCTGACCTTTCCCAGCAAGATGCCTTTTTCCAAAGATGGTGCCCCCTTCTCACGACATACCCACAGCAGAGGTATTCACTGTGTGCAGTCAGTGTTCCCAAGTATTTCTTGGAGTAAAGGTTAAAATAACATGATTTTTATTTTTTTTATTAAAAGATACTAAAATTTAGAAAAACAAAATACGCAGGCTCCAAAACTATGCAATATATGCACATAATCATACTATAATGAGTGAGCTTATAAAATCTGAAATCGTTTTTCTTAAGTACATAAAAACTAAATATGGTTCATATGTCTATCATATCCAGTAAAAAGATACCTTAAGTATCCAACTATTAAGAAAATGGCCTTTAAGACTAGAAAAGTAATGGAAAATAGATCTTTATATCATAAAATAGTTCAATTGTATTACCATTCCTCAATAACTGTTTTCTTATTAGGAGCTAAAAAGGTTTGTCTCCAATTCTTTCTGGAGCATATTTACTGACTAGGTAAATAGTTAACATTACTTTCAATTACATAAAAACAATCAGACTTAATTAAGTTCATGAGATTATTTTTTTTTCACTTTGCTATAGAAGTATTCTTACCTTCTGGTGGTTCATCACTAAGGTATGATGGAATTTCTTGTTGGTTTTTATCTGTCTGATTCATGATCTAAAAAAAAAAAAAACCCACCAAAAATCAGTTCATTTCAACCTCGACATGTCAGATCAGCTCTTATCACAAACTAGATTAAGATTTAATCCGTTTTATTCGGATAAACATTTTTTAAGTGTTTAAAAGATGTGGCACATTCTCTGTCTCCACACTGGGGCATCTATGAAATGCTTTCGATTACCAGAGGAGAATGAGAATCTGGCCTGAAATATCAAGCAGAGAGGCGGCACGGTATATTAAGCTGTCCTGTTAGCTTAGTGCCATACTGCAACCTGAACTGAAAATTACCAATAGAAAGAGAACTGGAAGACTGGGGTTAGCTAAAACGTTGGGTGCTTCCACCTAGAGACAGCAAACTGCAAGGTTGGCCCCGCAGCGGGCAAAGTTTTCTTCTGTTGCACAAAGAGAGACTCACTGTGTGACTGGTCAGGGTCACAGTGAGTCCGCACCAACTCAACAGCACCTAGTAACAATCTTCTCATAGAATAATTAGTCCATTGCTGTCCCATTATGCTGAGTCAGAACCAACTCACAGCTGACCTTCTGGCCAATTTTCTGAGGCTGTAAAATCACAGGGAAGAGTCTACCTGTCCTTCTCCTGTAGAACAGCTGGTGGATTCGACCCACCTGCCTTTGGGTTTGCAGCACAACTCCTTGCCCATTAGACTACAAGAGCTTCCCAATAAGTAATGTTATTGTTCTTGTTATGGACTGTCAAGTTGGAACCGACTCCTAGTTGACCCTCCAGTGGGTTTTCAAAGGCAGTTAATCGCGGGAGAGGCGAGTACCCATTTTTCCCCCACAGAGAGGCTAGTGGATCTGAATTGCATGCCTTTGGGTCGGCAACACAAATCCTTACCACTAAGCCACAAGATTCCCCAATAAGTAGCTTAGGTATTATTTATTTAACAACTCTCTTAAATAATTCTGTACCTTAATTTTAAAGTGTTCTAACAGTCTTCTAGGTCGTATAGCCCTGGTGTGTCCACTTGCCGTACAGAGGTTAACTCGTGGTTGCTGTGAAGCTGAACACTGTGACAGTGATGCAGTGATGTGTCAAATGTGATAATGGTTACCCATGGTGGACAGCATTTGGTGGGGCTCCCTGGTTAAAACAAGCTTAGAAGCAGGAGTGGCATCCACTTCTGTAAATAGCTTGCCTCTAGAAACTCTATGAACCTGGAAAAAGGATGAAAGTCACGCACACAAGTGTCGAGGACTTTCATTCATAGGGTCGCTATGAGTCGTCTACGACTTGACGGCACTTAACAACATCTTGGGGGGAACCTAGAAAATGTAACACACTTTACTTTCAATAAATCTATTTTATTGACTTAAAAGTTTTCTAAGCTTTAAGAACAGATGCAACAAAATGATTCAAACATTTCTTAGTATTAAAAAAATCTCTATGATCATTTTATAAAATAAGGAAGACTAAGGAAAGGCATCCGACTATGTTTATTATAACAAACTACAGCTACCATTGAGAAGAACAGAAATGTCAGAACATATAATGGTGCTCATGTGAAACCTATACCTGTCATACGAACAGAGCAAGGGAATAATGTATGATTTATAACCAGAAAGGCTGTGTGTCCTTTCTCCATACCTATTCAATCTGTATGCTGTGTTAATAATTCATGAAGCTGGACTTGATGAAAAGGAATGTGGCATCAGGACCAGAGGAAGACTCAGTAACAACCTGCACTATTCAGATAACACAACTGTGTTTGCTGAAAATGAGGAGGACTTTTAGTGCTTGGTGCAGAAGATCAAAGTCTATAGCCTTCAATATGGCATACATCTCAACAAGAAAACAAAGGTTCTCACCACTGGGCCAACAGGTAACAGGACAAGCTATTCCTTGGAAAGGGACATCACACTTGGAAAGGTGGAGGCTCCGTGAAAGAGAAGATGCTTGGCAAGACAGATGCAGCAATGGGCTCATGTGTGTCAGAGATGAGGATGGCACCGGGTAGGACAAGGTTCAGGTCTGATGTTCACAGGGCTGCTGTGAGTCATACTCGGCCCAATGGCTGTTGTAGCACAACAGTAAAGTGCTCATCAACTAGCTCAAAGTCTGAGGAGAATCCACGAACCATCCAAGAGAAAAGTGCGTGGCCATCTGCTCTTGTCAAGATTTCTGCTGAGGAAACCCTAGCTTCGGTGGCCTAGTGGTTAGGGAGTTATGAGTTGGGATAAACTAGACTCAACCATTTTGTAACAACTCACACACTGTTGTCAAGTCAGAATTGACTCCCAGCTGACTCTGCAGAGCATTTCTGGGCCTGTCAATTGCATGACAGCCGGCCCATCACTGGCACATTCAAATGGCCAGAGACTCAACCTTTGGGTTACAGCATCACTAGTGTTTAAGAGAAACGATGGACACAGTTAAGCTTTCTTTCAATTTCTTTTACTATCTTAACATTTTAATTCACTTACTAAGATTAAAAATTTCTAAAAGTGTTCTTTCTGTTTTGATAGAAAACCAGGGTTATGATCCCTTCATTCATCTAAGTATTTCCTACTCCACACTATGGGCCTGGGAAACTACAGGCAGACCTCAGAGATAATAAGGGTGCCATTCCTGATCAAAAGAAAGGGGATGCTGCAATAAAGTGACACAAATGTGTTTGGTATCTCAGTGCACATAAAAGCTATGCTTTACTGCAATCCATTATTGTTGTTATTTGATGCCGTCGCATCAACTATGACTCAGAGCAATCCTATGAACACGCGATCTGAACCCTGTCCTATCCTGTGCCATCCTCATCATGTCTGACACACGTGAGTCCATTTCAGTCACCTAGCTTGCTGAGGGTCTTCCCTCTCTTGCTGACCCTCCACCTTTCCTAGCAAGATTTCCAAGACAGCCTCTCCTAGCAACATGCCCAAAGTATGAGAGATGAAATTTTCCATCCCTGCCTCCAAGGAACATTTTGGCTGCACTTTTCCTAAGACATACTTACTGTTCTTTTGGCAGTCCATGGGATATTCAGTACTCTCTTCCAACACCACAACTTAAAGCTATCAATTATTTTGTCATCCTTATTCTTTGTCCTGCTCTTAGATGCACAGCAAGTGACTGAAAAGACCATGGCCCGAATCAGGTTCACATAAATCTTCTAACTATCACCAATGCTCCCCACTACTGTAGAGAGGGCCTTGACAGGGGATCTGCTCAATGCAGTATGTCTCTTGATCACCTGGCTGCTGGTACCAAGAGTGTTAATTGTGATCCAAGTAAGACAAAACTATTAACAATTTCAATGTTTTCTCATCTTTTAGGATGTTGCATACTGGTCCAGTGCTAAGGTCTTTTGTTTCCTTAATGTTGAGATGCAATCCATATTGAAGGCTGTAGTCTTTGATCTTCTGCACCAAGTGCTTAAAGTCCTCATTTTCAGGAAGTAAGGTGTATCTCTGCAATACGCAGTTAATGAGTCTTCCTCTGATCCTGATGCCATATTTTTCTTCATAGAGTCTAGCTTCTTAAATGATTTGCTCAGCATACAGACTGAACGGGTACTGAGAAAGGATACAACCTTAATGTACACTTTTCCTTATTTTAAATTTTAAACCATGAAGTGTTCCCTTGCTCTGTTTGGACAGTAACTTCTTGGTCTAGGTACAGGTTTCGTATTAGCGTAATTACGTGTTCTGGGATTCCTCTTCTTCTCAATGTTAGCCATAGTTTGTTGTTATCCACAGCAACACATCTTTGCATAGTCAGTAAAACACAAACAGACATTCTTGTGGTATTTTCTGCTTTTAGCCAGGACCCACCTGACATCAGCAATGACATCCTTGGTGCCATGACCTCTTCAAAACCCAGCTTGAACCTTTGTCAATGTACTATTCTAGTCATTTTTGCATGATTTTCAGCAATATTTTGCTTTTGTATGATGTTAATGACATTGCTTGATAATTTCCATATTCTTTGCATCACCTTTCTTAGTAATGGGAACAAATATGAATCACTTCCAGTCATCCAAGCAGCTATCCTCCAAATTTCTTGACACAGATTTTACGTCTAGGGTTGCATCTGTAAGCTGAAACCTGTTAACGGGTAGTCTGTCAATTCCCAGGGCCCTATTTATTGCCAGTGCATTCATTCAATGCAGTCTGAACCTCTTCCCTCATTACCACTGGCTCTTGTTCATATGGTACTTCCTGAAACTTTTCAGTGTCAATCAATTATTTTTGGTATAGTGACTTTGCATGTTCCTTCTATCTTCTTTTGGATTTTTTTTTCTTTTCTTCCTGGATCATTCAATATTTTGCCCAAGTATCTCTTAGTATTTGTTTTTCAATTCTTTTGGCTTAAGAAATGCTGAGCGAATTATTCCCTTTTTATTCTCTAACTCCAGTTCTCTGCACATTCTTTTATAATATTTTGTTTTGTTTTCTAGAGTTTTGTGGGGTGTTTTGTTTTGGTCTTGTGTGGCATCTCACTGTTCTAATGCAATTTTCAGTCCCTTCTGACTCCATTTTGGTCTTTATGCTCTTCTGTCTCTGTAACAACCTTTTGCTCTCTTCATGGGTGATAGCTTTGAAGTCATTCACTCATCTGGTCTTCAGTCATGAGTGTTCAAGGCCTCAAACCTATTCTGACAATGATTTTTTAAATCCAGGTGGGTCAGATTCCAAATTGTACTTCAATTCTTGTGGACTTGTCTTCATTTTTTTCAGCTTTAATTTAAACTTGCACATGAGTAACTGATGGTCAGTTTCACAGTCAACATCTGGTCTGGTTCTAACTGCTAATATTGAGCTTAATATTAACTTCAATCAGTTAAGTGTATCAGCATAGCAATATGAAAGTTTGAAATATTTCAAGAATTACCAAAATATGAGAGGGACATGAAGTGAACATGCTACTGGGAAAACAGTGCAGGATGGCCACAAACCTTCAATTTGTACAAAACATATTGTCTGCAAAGGGCAATAAAATGAGATGTGCCTGCATACCTCTCTACTTAAAACAGAGATTAAGATGCACATTGTGCAAATTATCA